AGGTGTAAGTATATATCATTACCATAATCTCAGGAGATAGAAGAAAAACATTTAGAGTTTATCCTCATAAATGATAGCATGTATTCTTTTTAGTTTTCTTCTGTCAAAAAAAAAATATATATATTTATATCTTCTTATGGTGTATTTCTCTTTTATAGAGCAGTGCATCAAGTATTTAACTCAAGCTCTTGACATCAGACGTGAGTGTGGTTGGAGACATTACCACACTGCCTTGACCTTGACACATTTGAGTGAAGTGTACATGAAATGGTATGTCCTAAACTGAATTTAAGAAACTGAACAAAAATGTAAGAGATCATCAGAAATGAAATAATTAAGAAATTAGTTTGTCATTCTTACTTGAACCATAGTAATTAAAGTTTTGAAAACATCTGTTTTGGCAAGTCTCTACTTTTTATTATTGATTGATAGGCTTTATGTTGTGTGGTGGCTGAGTAGTAAAGTGCTTGGCTTCCTTAACTAAGGGTTCCCTGATTTGAATCTTAGAGATGAACTCCATTTGTTAACAAGGCTGGAAGGATTAGTCCTCCGATAGAGCCTTGGCAAGAAACTCTGCTCTTAGGCGTAGTGCTTTAAGCTCCCATACAGGTCCAGTGACTCTGCAGACACTCTTGATAGAGATGCGCCACTGTTTTCATCGACTCTCCAAAGTGTCGGCAACGGGCATCAAAATTTGGCTGGAACCAGGCAAAGTAAGGAGAAGACAGGGGCACCCTAAACATCCTGAAATTATAAATCCCTGAGTCCATCCAACTTTTAATGGATACTTGGCATTTGTTTGAGAGAGAGCTTCTGCCATAGAAACAGATGACCTTTACATCATTTGCCCTAAAGATGGCAAGATCTTCTTCCTCGTTCCCATTATTTTGGAGTGTTCAGATGACATGACCAGTATATTAGATGAATTGTGCAGTGGTTTTCATAAAGTTTTCTTTCTGTTGGGGTGTTTTGGGGCCAGTGTCTTGTTTAAGCCTCTTGGTAAAGAATGCAGTTTTGAAGGACATGGTCAGCATTCTCTGGTGACACTCTCTGGTGACACTCTCTGGTGACACTCTCTGGTGACACTCTCTGGCGACACTCTCTGGCAAGGTCTAAAAAGGTTACTTCACTTACTTATGCTTTATGTTTGTGGAGAGCATTATGACCTTAACAATCATTGCTAGGAGTCTGGTAAATGTTTAACTTGGTGGACTAGTGGTAAGAGAAGCAGCACAACTGTGGATCACGAGTAGCCTATAAACTTTGCTGGATTTCTCTGAAAAATTCAGTCAATACAAAACGTAAATACAGCAGTAAATGGCAGCATAAAAGTTGTGGTGGTATTGCTGTGGACTGTCATCTTGATGATCTTGGATTGAACCCTGTCTGCTACCATTCTTGCTATCCACTCTGGAAGTCATCTTGATAGTCTTGGGCTTGAACTCTGCTTGTTGGCATCCTTCAAAGTCCTCTGAGACGTTTGGCCTAGAATGTAATAATCTTCAATTCTGAAGGAACATTCAAAACACGGGAAAGAAAAAAAATAAAGAAATAATAATAAGTTAAAATAACATCCCAATTATGATATCTGGCCTAGGGATAATGGTTGACTAAAAAAAATATAAATTTAAACATAACAAATACATCATCAGCCAATACTGCACAATTGGCTACACTAATTTCAGATGCTTTGTTGTACTTAGCCGAACCGAGGTCTAAACATCCAAGTTTCTCTTTCTACTCATGGACTCATACAGCTGCATTTCTAAGGACTCACATTGTACCACACTGTCCTTACTGCCTTGCTGTCCTGGACTCAACTGCCTTTCTTAAACACTGTCTCTCATCCATGAAGGCTTCCGATCACATGACCATAATATGTAACATATTTGCGTGTACTTGTAGTACTGTCCCTTGACCTGTGTGATTTTCTTCCTGAGTCATGTGTGTCAGTAGGTCGCATACATATCAACCCTATCGTTTCACCTCTGGAGTTACAATGATAGTTTTAATGTGCCCATATTAAGCTTCCAAGCTTGAAATTCCATTTGATTTTTTTAATAAATCTATTAACCAGGTTTTATATTTATTTACAAAAACTTACTTGCTTTTTTTGTGATTTCAGTGATAACTTTACGGCAGCTTACAAGAAAGCTCTGGAAGCTGATAAAATTCTCAAAGTGACTGCAAAAGAGCATGACATGAGACTGCGTGTTAATTTCACACTTGCACACATTCGAGTAGTGCTTAGGCAAAGAATGGAACCCGAGTCTGCCAGGGAAGATGCCTTCACTGAATCTCATCTCTGCCTCTGTCATGAAAATCTCGATTTTCCAAACATAGGCTTTCAGTCAGAAAATGTCCCAGATTTTGGAGCCCTGATGACAGATTGCAAGGATTACAACAGACCGGCACCTGCTGTCAGGCCTGTCAGTGGCAATGCTCCAGGCTATCACCAGCAAGGATGTCCACAAGCTTGTCCAACACAGCACAATATCAGGAGGGAAGGCACCCCAATTTTTCCAACGCTGTCCATGAGCACTGTAGAGATTGAGCCTAGGGATCTTAACATGGCAGCTGTTGACTTTTTGGACTATGGCATTACTCTCAGCCATGACGGTGGTACACTGAGTGATGACGGACACAAGAACTTCCTTGCTTCTCACACTCATGCCATGCTGCTTAGCTGGGGAGACACTGAGAAGCTGGCAGAGCATAAAACTGCCATAGTTCAGTATGTGAAAGACAATCCTACTATTGAGACTGCTGTGTTTAATAGCCCTGTTGCTTTACACTCGAGGTATGAATTTCTCAGGAACCAGGCACCTCTATATTACTATATTAGGGATACGCCAATCGAGGGTTTGAATCTGTCCTTGTTTTTAAACATGATGGTGAAATCTTGTTATGTCTGTGCCTATGTGAAAAATATCTTTACAGAGGAAATGTGGATGCGGGAAGCACGGCACCTGGTGTTTGCCAGGCGTGAACGTGAAAGATTTCTGCAAGAAATGGATCAGATGCGACTCGGCCCATTTTTCAGTGACGCCTCATACCATGAAGTAAACTCCAACTTTACTGGTGCTGCAGATGTTAGCTTTCTGTCACACACTGCCACCAGCAGGAACAACAAGGTAGCCCATGGGTCTCCATGCAATACTGTGATTGAACCAAATTTCCCTGAAATCCAGCTCAGCTCACACACCCTACTTGACCTGATGTACCCAGAATCTGTCCGCAGTGATATTGATAATTATGAGACTTATCAGTCAGCTGAGAACAACCTATCACAGCCAGTTGAATCCCCAAAAATTATTCAAGAACAAAAGAATCTATTGGAGAAATTCACACGGCCAGGTCAAAAGAGTCAAGATTCTCTACTGGGCGCCATTGGTGGATTAAATATACCACACTCCAACATGGACTTGAATCTTGAGACAAATGATTTAAGACAGAAGAAAGAGCCACTGAGGACAAAGTTCATCTCTAATTATAGAGAACCTGTTGAACAAAGTGAAAATGAGAGCGTCCTTTTCAAGAATGATCATTTTGAGAATCAAAATAAACACTTGTTAGACCAACATAGACAATATCTAGACCAACATAGACAATATCTAGACCAACATAGACAATATCTAGATCACACTGGACAGTCAGTTGGTCTACAAGGACATTTAGATAATCAGCAAAGACATTTCATTGATCAAAGTAGGCATTCAATGCTGAAAAATTGTGTTTATTCTGAATCTTTCAACATGATTTCTTCTCCTGTAAGTCATCAATCATCCTCACTGCAAAGGGCATATTCCAGTAGTAAACCCCAAAACATTATGCCTTCTCCACCAGTTGAACCTCATCACATTAGTTTATCACAATATTTGAAAACAGCTTGGCCCTCGGATACTAAGAGTAACAAGTGTGAAACTGGCTCAGAGAACTTACCCAAAGGAAATTCTCTTTCAAAGACAACATTCCTCGACCAGTACATTAAAGATGTGCTGGATCCAAGTTTCAGCCATCAATCAGAAATGGGCCGTCCAACACCCTTTTCACACCCGAATGATCACTTCAGTATTACAAACAGCAATAAATGTTCCCTTCCAAATGCAGTGAAATCTGGCAGAGATGTAAGTATGCTGCTTTATGAATATGGCAAAACTAGCACATTTCATTCACAAGATGGCCAAAGGTCAATGACTGAAAGTGGGTTTTCTGGTTCAGCATTTGGCATGAGTGATGATGACCTGCATCAGAATGCCTTATGTGGAAATAGCCACAACTCATGTAGCACAAGTCCTATCACCCATGAAAGTGGATATTCATCTCAAGGTGCAAAACCTAAAACAAACTCAAAACTGTATGCAGGTCCAAAAAAACAAGACTGCCCTTTGATTTCGCCACCAAATAGGCAATCGTCTTCTGACACCATATCAAGCAGGCTTCACAGAGAACCTTTGGAAGATAGTGAAAACATTTCATTAGATGCCAGAGACTTTGATGAAGAATCATGGTGTGATACTATCATAACTGGCCATTGTTCTGGGGATAATTTTATCACAGTTTTACCAGCTCAACCCTGTCTTAGCTCCAAAGTAAACCAGCCAGATAGGAGTTTGTCAGCTAAAGATTTATTTGGGGGGGAAGGAAAACACAGCTCTGAAAGCAGCTCATCAGATAAATAACTTTTTGGTGTCAGATCTGAGGGGAATCAGGCCAAAGTCCACACACACTCTAATTTAATCATATTTATATAGCTTAACTTACAAATGTTTATTATCACTATGTGAAAGTTAAAAATGATAATAGGCTGTTGAAAGCATCATTTCCTGTGCTCATAACAAGCACCCATCAGAGACAGGAAAATCTTCAAAATGGCTTCATCATGCCTTCTGCCAAATAATCTAAAAAGTGGCAGTAGTTAAGTTCCCTTTTCAGACCTTGCGATCTTTAGGGCAGATAATGTAAAGGCCATCTGTGTCTGCGGCCGGAAGTTAACAAGGGTGTCATGTAGCCAGCACAATGACTAACCGACTTAACTTTTTCACAACTATTGTCAGGTACCCATTAGAGCTGGCTGGACTCAGAGATCCTGAAATTTAAAATCCCAGTCTTCACCAAGATTTGAACCAGGGACCCTTGGGTGGGAAACCAAGTGCTTTGCCTCCAAAAAGTAGCATTATTCAGATAAAAAGAGAAACATAAGTAAATGATTTCCTTGACAGTGTTCAAACACCTGATTAATAGATCCACATCAGTGAATAATCAGGAACTCTTCCAAGTAATTTTGATTTAATAAAGCAATATTAATGAGGTTTTCTTTGCGTATTTTTTTGGACATAAAGAGAATCATGCCTTAAGCATGAAACAAAGATATTAAACCATGGCTTACTATACTTGCATATCAAATCACTGACCACTTTCTCCATTTGGTATTAATTACTCATTTAAAACCAATACTTTCTTCTTGTATATGACTAATAGCTTCTTCCAGATCCTACTAACTCAACTTTATCTCAAATTACAATTCTAGTTGTCCTAAAGCACAATTCACTTGGCTTTACATCATCTCTCTGCCTTAGTTTTTGGGTAGCTGCACATAATTGTCTTTACTGCAAAAGACTGCACTCTTATTATGGACTTTTCTTATAAGTGAATGCTGTGGCATATATATATATATATATGTCAGACCAGACCGTCTAATGTTTTGGATCAGATGTTAGCTTTGTTAATGTTTATATATCACTATTTAATGCAAATTAAGAAATATGGAGGATACTAGGTTGTTACGTAGTGGAAGGATAGTTTTCTGTAATAAAGTCCTTTATTTAAGCCTTTCAGTTGTATGATAACCTGAACATTGTTTACTTACACAGCACTAATAGACAAATTGTTGGTCATTAATGTTAAAAGAATGTCAGTATAAATTAAAAATACAGCAAAATATAGATGAGGTTAAAAATGGAGTTGTAAATTGAGAATTGTTTGGTTAAATTTGTGGAAAACAAAAGTTTTAGCCTTATTATTCAGTCCTCTAGGAAGAAAAAGGTTTTGTTTTTTTGTCGAAACAATCATATACGTTATAATACAAGAAAAGTAATGTTTTTGTTCTTCCAGATCTAGATATGCATATCATAATGTTGAGAACAAGAGCAGTGCATGGTCAAACACTTTCCAATTAGGCCCACTAAAAGGACAGCTAGATCTAGCCATCTATGATGTATCTACTGTGTTGAATGTACATGTATTGTTAAATGTTCATAGATATTACTTTATACACATGGAATTAAAATAATGTATTTAGAGGAGTATATGACAAAAAGAAATTGATAAACAAGACCACATAACCAATAGTATGCCAAGAAAACAACCCCCTTTAAAAAAAAAATTATCTATTATTGGTAAGAATGAACAAACTTGAATTAGCTATCTTCCGTAGAAAGATGAAAAAAAAATAAAATACCAAGATTAATCTAGAGATTAATTAAGATGCTCAGTTACTTAAAATTCTAGTATTGGCACTATTTAAGGATCACACTTATAATAGTAGGAAAACATCACAGGTCATTATGTCAAGTTTTTGTGGGGGTTTTTTTAGTACCTGGTATCAAATTATTGCATTAATTGGTTAAATAAGTTTAGCTCTATGTGGAGCAATTAGTGAAGTCCAATGGATAGTTTTACATATAAATTTTACTTTGTAATATACATTTAAAAACCAAATAATCATAACAATGCTTAATAGAAATCCAATGAAAAATGGATTGAATGAAAAGAACCAATACACACGTGATTACCAAGGCAAGTTAAATACACAAATTATAATGGAAATAAAACAGTTTGTCCTAGTGAACACAAGAAAATACATACCATTAATAATTAATCAAGCAAAGGGAAAGTTATGTTTAAAAAAAAACAAAAAAAAAACTAATTTACATTTTCAGTAAAATTCTATACCATATCAAAAGCATATGAACAGTGTGAAATGAGACAATGACATAACAATACCTCTGTATTGGCTTCTGAAATAACTTGAATCATTGCAGCAAAGTTCAAATACTAAAGGCAATTGCTCATCCAAGCCAAGTATGATGTAATGAAGTGTTATAAAACAAAATTCTGTGCTAATTAAAATAGAACCAACAACTTGGGTAATGTGCAAGTTTTTTTTGTTTTTGGATGAAATCTACACAAGTAACAGCACAGGACAAAGTGAGGCTAGTAGTAAAAGCTATATACACAACAATTAAGGAAACTTCACTCCATGAAATAAATGACCACACAAAGAGTAGGACTTTCCTACTAACTGGTCTATAGAATATGGTTGCTAAATTCAACAAGATGTATCTTCAACAAAACATACAAACATTTTAGTTGCTCAATCTTTCATTTGAAACTAGCACTAGCACACAAAAAAATGTAACCAAAAAGTTTCAGTCAAACACATGTATGAAAACATTCACTCTACTGCTTTATTGAATTTAAAAAAATGCAAAATATAAAAATAAATATCTGCCTAATCCCAGCACAACATTCTCTAGTCAAATGATCAAGACTCAGAAGTTATGATACTTTAGTACAAATGATGCTCCTTACAAAAATTTTGATTTAAAAATTAAAAAGAATAAAAACATCTCAATATTAAAAAAAAAAGACAAACATGTTGAACTATACAGTAACAAGTGTACAAAGTTCATATTTGTATAGATAGCATTTGTGTGTGTGTGTGTGTAGTACAGTGATGGCCATGTAGGGTCTGGGCTAGCAAGAGTTTCTTGACCCTAATGTAAGAAAAGATTAAGCAAAGGAAATGGCAATATACTAGTGAGTCAAATGCAAATAACATTTTTCATGAGCAAGTTATAGAGAGAAACATGACCAACTGGAATAACATTAAAAGACTGCATGGTCAACTTCTAAAACTAACATTTGAAACAGCTTAATAGCACAACTTAGGAAGCACATAATACAATAGTTTGTTTTATTACTAATGTCATGTTGAATCCATAAACAAGTTAACTTTTTTAAATTCAGAAAACGTCAAGATATCCAATATGCAGTTATGAGTATTACATAAGATTTATGCCATGTTATTTTTAACTGAATTCTATATATATTAGTTCACACAAGGGTAGCTACATTGATGAAGTCCATGATGACAGACCGTTACACAAGTATAATAAAGCATCATTAGAATATGGGGAGGGGGAGAGAAAACAAGGCTTTGTGCAGTTAGGACATAGTACCAAGTACACTAACCATTAAAATGTTGGGAAAACCAATCAAGAAAATAAACAAACTACATGTTCGCAGTTAACAATATGATCACAGCTCTTTAACATCTTGCATGTTAAAAAAAATGTAACATTACTAGAAACCATAATAGAAGCAATTACTTTCATGTTCAATAGTTAAAAGAACTTGAGACATTTGTTGGAGAATACAACACAATATTCATAGTAAGCATGTCAATAAATAAAAATAACTACAGTATGAAAAATTAACAAGGAATGCTTCCAATTTGAATTTTGCAAAATGGCACAAAATAGTGCAAATATCATTATACCATGCCAAATGCATCAATTGAACATAATGTTGTACCTAAGCATCTCAGAAGGAAGCCTGTTTATCAATGACATAACTATTTTTAGAACAGAAAATCACAAAACAACAGTTAATAGTAAAATTGTTCTTTTTAAGGAATGGATGGTAACTATATACTTGACTAGCTTCAGCCATAACAATGTTTAAAACCTTTTGCATTTATCAAAGGTCTTGAAATTTGTATTCACTCAATATAATCTTACAAATAACTGCTTATACTAAGTATATCAAATGATAGTCCTCTTAAAACAAAAGAGAGGTCATAGTTTACAGAGAACATGCATTTAGAATCTCACCAATAACTTGTTTAAAAGACAAAGACATGAAAAACAAAAAATGGTAACTAGTGATGTTATCAAATCATTGAAAGAAACATAACACAAGTTAATATACAACAGAAAGCAATGATTAAAAATAACATTAGTAAGGACATGATTTTCCACTTCATCAGATAAACATACTATATAAAAGTCTACCCAATTTCAATTATTTTGACATGAAAATTCAGGCAGCAAAATATGCATGGCATATCTTATTTAATTTTAAAATTAAGCAAAAAAAAAAAAAAAAAAAAATGGAGCATCATTGTTTTAAACAAAATATATAACTTTGGCATCTAATTTGTATCATGCAATTAATTTTATGCAATTACATCAATTATAGACATCCTATTTGCAGATAGACAAAACAAAAAAAATTAAAACGATATGTTCTACTAGTTTTCATTTTAAATTTTAAGTTAAAAAATTGAAAACAAAATGAGCGTCATAAAAATTCAGATCATCATCATCGTCAACAAGTTAAAAAGGCATTTGAAATCATGATCATGTATGTAATACTGTAGTGTTTCATTTTGCGATCACTAAAAATAATAATTCTATGGAAACAAGATTGTACTCGTGAAATGGTATGAACATTTGCATACATTATCTATTATAATTGGAGGGAAAGACTTTTCCTTATGTACAAAATACAAGCATCGAAACATTAGCTAGTAGAATATTTATCTCTAACATTTTTAATTTTGCATTTTAAAGAAAAACAGTAAATAAAAAGTTATTGGAAAATTCATTGGTAATATCAATAGCAATAATCATTTTTATTTATTAATAAATGACCAAATATTTGTTTAAAAAAAGTATAAAAATGAAAGCAGAAATAAAACTAATATTTTTCTTAATAGGATAAATTTCTAACCACATACACACTTCATTTATTCAAACAAACTGATTTTCATGACACACTCACAGTTGATTCAGCAACCTTTGAGGGAGATGGGTGAATAGATCAAGACAATACCAACAAGATAACAAGAAAAGACAAAATCCATGCTAAGTGATTATAAAATTATAAATTACAAAGCTAATTACAAATCTGTTCTAAGCCATTACCACAATCTGTTTCTTGATACATCAGTAAAACCAATACCACACCAAAGAGTAAAACACTTCTCTGCTAGTTAGTTAAAAATTCTAGTCTAATTGTTGAAAAGTGCACATCCCACAAGTGAATTTCGGAATGTGGTGCATTTACGTCTGGGTGCTAAAGCACAATTCTTTGTCCCTTAATTCACGGGGACATTTCAATTAAGTTCAAAGATATACACTGTGCCTAGAGAGCACCTTGAGAAATCCAATCTATTGTGATCTTTGGAGTTTTTTGGAAAGATCAAATAAATAATGAATTTTTTGAGGGAATCGGTTCATAACTTGAAAACTATTACTGGATATCTGAAGGTTCTACCCAAGCACAATGCAACATCAATGAAATGACACCAGTTAGATATGGGGCAAAGCTTGATTAGATAAAATCAAATGTAAAAACTATACAGCTGCCATTCTTAAATCAACTCTGATCTTACTAGTTGGTACAAAGTTCAAAATAATAAAAAAATACCAATATTGAAGCACAACAATTGTTCTATTCAAAATAGCAAAATAATGCATGATTTCTACTTTTTGTTTTAAATTTCAAATCAAACTTGTCTTAATGAAAAGGGCATTAGATAAAAATTGAATCTGCATGAAAGTCATAAATTATGTGTCACCCGTAAGAACATTAAAATAGAACATTAGTAGTCAAAACAAAAATACTGGCATTTATTTCATTATCATTCTGAAATTTTAGAGCAATTATAGTTTAACTTGTTCAAACATTTCAATGTCAATGCAGATAAAATAAAAGAGGAGCACATTCCAAAATAAAAATACTATGTGACATTTACTCCAGAGTGATTTAATAATGGCATTACTATACAATTAAACAAAAAATATTACAGATATTTAATCATCACCAAAATGAATGTAATATATAATGTATATTAACGATTAAATATTGCAAACACCAGCAAATACAACAC